AAAAAAAACAAAAACCAAAAAAACATTTCAGCTGTATTTGCACTGTTCTGATGTCTAATGAAATGAAAAATAAAAATTGTAGGAAACCGAGACTGAGGCAGGGGGATCTTGAGTTCAAAGCCAGCCTCAGCCGAAGTGAGGCACTAAGCAACTCAGTGAGACCCTATCTCTAAATAAAATACAAAATAGGGCTGGGGATATGGCTTAGTGGTCGAGAGCCCCTAAATTCAATCCCTGGTACCCACCCCCAAACCCCACATACAAAAAAATTGAAGGTAAGGCAGGCTCCGTAGCWCACACCTGTAATCTCAGTGACTTAGGAGGGAGGCTGAGGCAGGAGGATTGCAAGTTCAAGGCAACTTAGTGAGACCCTCAGTAACTTAGCAAGACTCTGTCTCAAAACAGAAAATAAAAAAGGGCTAGAGATATAGCTTAGTGGTAAAAGTGCCTGTGGGTTCAGTCCTCAGTACAAAAAGAAAAAAAAAATTGTAGGGAATAAAATGTCTAAACAATTTTTTTTTACAACTTATTTTGGTTTCTTTCTCTTTGGCTATTTGACTAAATAGCTTTCTGCTACCAAGGATTCCCTACAGCCTGTTGAAGAGAAGGTTGGTGCTTTCACGAAGATAATAGAAGCCATGGGATTCACAGGACCATTGAAATACAGTAAATGGGTAAAGTCTTCTAAATTCTTCTCATTTTTTTATTTTGGGTTTTGTTCTTTCTCTTTCCCATAGAAGATTTTTTAAAAGCTTGTTTGCTCTCGTGAAATTCATATGTTGTTTTGATAATTTCTTAGAAATGCACTCCCCTCCTCAAGCCCCCACTTCTTGATCAGTGAGACTGAAATGTAGCATGTGGGACTGAAATACTCCTTTTTTAGTTGTAAGCTGCCTTGGAAGCAGCTTACAGTAGCAGGCACCCAGTAAGATTGCACCTTTCAGGCCCTTGCTACATGGTATGCCATGTAGAAGAGTGCAGAGGGTCAGACGGGCGACATTCTTAAGGAAGCATATGTCTCTAATGAATTCATTTTTTTTTTTTAAGAGAGAGTGAGAGAGGAGAGAGAATTTTTAATATTTATTTTTTAGTTCTCGGCGGACACAACATCTTTGTTGGTATGTGGTGCTGAGGATCGAACCCGGGCCACACGAGTGCCGGATGAGCACGCTACCGCCTGAGCCACATTCCCAGCACCTGAATTCATTTTTTTAAAAAATTATTTTATTTTCTAATTTGTTCTAATTAGTTATACATGACAGTAGAATGCATTTTGACACATTATACACGAGTGGAATACAACTTCTCATTACTCTGGCTGTACATGATATAGAGTCACACCCGTAGTGTAGGATGAATCCATTTTCATTAAGTGATTTTTTTTCCCTAGGTCATTATAGTGACATTCTTTAAAATTTTAGAAAAAGCATCTTTTTTATTAAAATTGACTCCATGACTTTGTTATAATTGACTTCTTGTCAATACTTGACCTAGCACTTTATTTCTTATACAGTAGTTGCTGTAAATGAATGAGTGTTCTCTCTCTATCAGGTGTATACTGGTTCTTATTTATACCTTTAGTCAATTTAGAACAATAGAACATTAGTGATTCTGTTCTTCTCATCCCACTTATTTCCTATGACTATTCTATCACTGTGGCAAGGTGTCTCTTAATGCCTTTCAAGGTTGCTAGAATATTTGATAAGTCTAATCATTGTCAGTTGTAAGTCAGAGCATACCAACACAAAGTGGTAGGAAAGACATTTCTAGAAAATGTCATAATTTTGCTGAAAATAAGTAATGACATTTATACTGTTTTAACAAGTTGGATTCAAATTAGAATTTCAGTTTTAATATGGACTCTACTCTTTGTTTCTTTTTACTTGCTTTCTCTTCCTAACAGTCATTACTACAGCAGATAGAGGTTTTGCTTTGTTTGTGAATTCTGAAAAGTCAGCACTGATTGCACAAGAATTTGTTTATTTTTTATTAGGGGATTTTTGAAATGTATAGAGAGGGCACAAATGCTAAGTAGTAATGATATTCTTGAGACCCTGAGGTTATGAGGTACTTTCCAAATCATCAAGGAAATATTAAGTTTATTAAAGTTATATATGTGTGTGTGTGTGTGTGTGTGTGTGTGTATGTATGTATTTTTCATCTTAATTCTTTGACGGTTATTAAATTATTGACTTATTTAGTAATGTATTAACCAGAATCTTTCCCCCTATTTTTTAAAAAAGGTAGTGATTTAGATTTTAAAACTTGAAATATGTTTTGTTTGAAAATTAGAAGAGGGAAATGAAAGCAGAAAAAAGAAAGAAAAGAAAAATTTACTGTTTTATTCATTTCTTGGTGATTGGGTTCCACTTGGTTACTACCATATGCTTTGTCTAGTCTGTGTTTTTTTTTTTTTTTTTTAATGATTCCAGAGGGAAAATTGGCYACCATTTGGAGGATTACTAAATCATCAAGAACATTTCTTCACTCTTGTAGCTTAGGTTAGCCTCTGATTTTTTTTGGTTCCCTTTGTGACCTCAACTAAATTCCTAATGTTTGCATTAAAAAATATCTTTGTGATGTGGCATTGTCTACTTTCTATAATTTTTGTTTTTAAAACTTATGACAGCAAAATACCAAAGTCTACCATTCTACTATGGTTGTGTTGGGAAAATCTAGATACAACTCCCCCACTTCCCCTTTATTTCCAAGAATTGAACCGAGAGGCTCTTTACTGCTGAGCTATATCTCTGACCCCACCCCCTTTTTTTWAAAGATATTTTTTAGTTGTCAATGGACCTTTATTTTATTTATTTATATGCGGTGCTGAGAATTGAACCCAGTGCCTCACACATGCTAGGCAAATGCTCTATCACTGAGCCACCACCCTAGCCCCCCAACTCTTTTTACTTTTTATTTATAGATAGGGTCTTGCTAAGTTCCTCAGAGGAGCTTTTAATTTTTTTTTTTTTTTTTTTTTGGTACTGGGGATTGAACTCGGGCACTCCACCACCCAGCCACATCCCCAGCCCTAATTTGTATTTTATTTAGAGACAAGGTCTCACTGAGTTGCTTAGTGCCTTGCTTTTGCTGAGGCTGGCTTTGAATTTGTGATCCTCCTGCCTCCTGAGATTAAAGGTGTGTGTGCTACCGTGCCTGGCACAACCTTGAACTTTTTTTTTTTTAAAGAGAGAGAGAGAGAGAGAGAGAGAGAGAGAGAGAGAGTATATATTTCAGTATTTATTTTTTCAGTTTTTGGCGGACACAACATCTTTGTTTGTATGTGGTGCCGAGGATTGAACCCGGGCCGCACGCATGCCAGGCGAGCGCACTACCGCTTGAGCCACATCCCCAGCCCCAGCCTTGAACTTTTGATGCTTCTATATCAGCCTCCAAGTTGCTGGGATTACTGGTGTGTACCACCATCCAGCCTCCATTTTGAAAAACTAAAGAGCCCTTTCAACAATGTTAACTCAGAAATCTATGGCTAGACACTTGTATTTGATTGCATTTATAGAATTCTTTATGTATTTCATTAGGAAGTAAAATGCTGGCTTATCTGTCCATGTCAGCAGTATCAAATGTCTTTATACTTTTCTTTAATGTTTTCATGTATAGTTCCCATTTTTCTTTAGAGTCATAATTAGGATTTTTAAAAACTTTTTTTWWAAATTTTTTTTAGTTGTAGATGGACATACAGTATCTTTACTTATTTTTATGTAGTGCTGAGGATTGAACCCAGTACCTCACACATGTGAGGCAAGTGCTCTACCACTGAGCTACAGCCCCAGCCCATAATTAGGATTTTAAATGTAGCTTTTCCTTATTTCTTGTAGTGTCCTGAAATAACCACTCTTTTACATTATATTTGTATAGCAATATCATATAAGAAAGGACAGCACATGCCATGATTCTAGCATATGTCATGGAATGGATAGGTTTTGTATTAGCATTGAGCCCAAAATTTATTTTTGTTCTGAAGGACATGAAAAACTGGAATATATTCAGAGTTGGACAGTGAGTCTTGTGGAAGTTTAGAAACTGTTGAATAAAGAATGGTTGAAGGAAACAGGGATGCTTATCTGAGTTACTCCAATGGCCAGAAAAATGTCTAATGAATATTATATGAAGCAGATTTAAGTTCAGTACAATGAAAATCTAAGAACTGTTCTTCAGTAGGATAGGTAGCCTTGCAAAAAGTCATTGATCTTATTTGAACAAGGGCCCATTCATGAGTCAAGAATGCTGAAGAAGGAATTCCAGTACAGAATAGAATGCATAGAATTCAGTACAGAAACTATCAGTTTCTGGGAGATCATCCTAAAGCTGTCCTAGATACTTCTGTTTCGGTCAAGTAGCCTGACGAAGCCTTCCAAAGTTAGAATGAAATAAACATGAAATCATCCAAGGACCAGAACAGCTTGTATTGACTTGGTGGAAGTTTAGTCCATTTACCTCTTTAACTTATATTAATGCATAATTCTTGGATAACTTCTTTCCATTTATTATGTCCAGTCCCTGTGTGATAATCTTCAGGGACTTGCTTTAGAGATTTGTCCAGGAAAATGGCTCACCCAAGTATAAAGGCTTGGCTTTGCTGCAGGAAAAGTGAAGAACTGTAAAATGCTCTTGATTTCTACAGTTTGAGCACTGTATAAATATCCAAGCCAATCTGGTGAACTCTTCATTATTTGTAATGAGTGCTTTTTCATGAACATATTATAGGGGAAAGCTTCCTTCTCAAGGAGAGACATGGTCCTTGGAGGCAAGTCTGCTTTTCCTAGGGCAGGGTGATTAATTGTGAACCTAACAGACTTTATATAGAGGAACCTAAAGGAAACTGCAGGATTAAAAAAAAAAAAAAAGAAAGAAAGAAATAATTAGGGATTTTAGTTAAAATTATAAACTGATCTAGAGTTGGACAAMGCCATAAGTTTCTAAAGGGCACAGATTTTTGTCTGTTTTGTTTTCCTCTCTATTTTCAGCTCCTAGAACATTGTGAAATGAGGTGGAAAACTAAGGGATTTCCAGAATTCCCATCTCAAGGTTAGGAATAGACCTGAGAAGGCCATAATAGTAGTATAATGATAGCACTATTTAGAGGATTGTACAGATCAGTGCTTCCCAAAATGTATTCTGTGGTTAAGTACTTAAAATAACTGCAGATGTTAACAAAGTTAAACAGGTTTTCTTCTCTTATTTTTATATTTTGATATGGGTGAATTACATCGATTGATTTGCCAGTGTTGAATCAACTTGCATTTATGGATAAATCCCACTTGATCATG